AATTTTTTTTTACATCTGTGAATATTTTAGTGTTGTTGTTCTACACCCCCAAAAACCCCCCACCAAGCTGGCTGGCTGGGGAATTCTGGGAGTTGAAGTCCACCCATCTTAAAGTTGCCAAGGTTGAGAAACACTATTCTAGCTCCTTTTTAGCCTGGAAGTCCAGTTTGGCAAGGACCACAATGCTGTGCTCTTCCTCTTCCAGGATTTTCAGCTCAATAAAAGAATTAAGGGACCCCATCCTCTGAGTCATCACCGAGCAGCCCATCCTTCTGGGATTGGTGGCCCTACAAGGTACACCCGTGGCAGAGCAATGGCTGCTCTGCATACAAGCATACAGATCATGTTTTAGGTCATATTTATGCAGAAATATTGAACATTTAAATGGGTTCACTAATTTTTAAGTACTAACTCAATGCACATGCTGCACTATGCTATAAGCATGGTTGATTTTGCTTAGTGTGTTGTGTAAATCTGGCCATTGTGCCACATGAACTGTGGTTTATGACTTAACACGGTGGGAAAAGAGTCAGTTCGGTCTAGTGGTTAAGGCGCTGGACTAGGAGGAGGGAAACCCAAGCTGTAGTTCTGACATAGGGTCAGCCACTTTCAGTCCTAGAAGGAAGGCAATGGCAAAATACATCCAAAAACGTTGCCAAGAAAATTGCATGGATTTGTCCATGTTGTCATGAGTCAAAACTGACTTGAAGGCACGTGCACACATACACAAAGTGTGAACCCAGCTAATTATGACTTATTCAACAAGCCATGAATCCACTGGAGTTGGGCAGCCACTACATTTAAATAAATAATAAAAAATAATTAAACAGTGACCTAGTGTGATCTGTGATCCCACACATTTTCCACTTGTGGCCTTCATGTGTTTTCCAATTCTATCATTTTCTTTTCACAAAAATTATTTGGAAAAAAGCAATGAGGGACAGATGGAATTGCTGAATTAATTATTTTGATTATCATAGTACCTCAAAGGGTCAGTCTAGAAACATATTATCAATGTGAAAGAATTTAAGGTGAAACTTCACACATTTTTTGAGAAACAAGTACATTTTTCATAATGGCTGTACTCCAGAATACTAATGGCTTGACATACAAAGATTGGCTTTTTCTGTAACTGTTCTAGCCAAAAAAGTTTTTTAACTTTTAACTTTACTTTACCAAATGGCAACCAAGCAGTTGGACACGCGGTTGCCATCACTTTATTTTTCCTGATCATTCAATCTTCTCTCTGAAAGTCCATATAATGCTATATGGACTTTCAGAGAGAGGACTGAATGATCAGGAAAAATAAAGTGATGGCAACCGTGTGTCCAACTGCTTGGTTGCCATTTGGGAACCAAGTGTTGGGTTTATATTTTACTTGTTTTGAAGATGATTCACTAGCCCATTTCTGTTTTGGTGAATTCAAAGTTTAGGTACTTTCCTTTAAAGTTTGCATACCCATTAGCAGGTCTTCACCTGGAGCTGTCTGCTCATTAACTGAAGTTGGCATCTGAAACCATCTTTGTAGACAAATATTAGGGATCCTTTTTAATTTCTCCACCTTTAGAATGCCCCCCTGCAAAGCATATGTTTGTTTGCTCTGATTCAGCAAAGGTGTTTTTCCTGACCAAGTATGTTTTTTAAACATTTAAATAATTGTGAAATGTCTTAACCTGCTCTCTGTCTTTTATTTATTATTTTAATCTGCTATTATATGCTGGCTTTTGAATTTGGAGGATTGTTTTTGTTTTGCATTAAATCACTGTGGGAAGACTATATTATGACTGCCACAGGAAATAAATTTAATATATATAAACACATTTACCCTATTCTGCCACACAGGCTAGCAGAAAATATAGTGGGCAGCACAACTGGAAGCAGGAAAAATATATTACAGCTGCCAGTTTAAGTATTAGCACTCTACAGAACTGAGAGATTTTTAACATAATGAACTTCCTTTAAACCAGTGTTTTTCAACCTCAACAGCTTTAAGATGTGTGGACTTGCTGGTTGGGGAATTCTGGGAGTTGAAGTCCACACATCTTAAAGTTACTGAGGTTAAGAAACACTGGTTTAAACATACACACCCATTTCTAGCCCTTCTGATAATGAAGAACAGTCTGATATATGGCAACAGTGATTCACTCAAGTATCATGAGTTTTGTGGTCTTGAAGCAGTATGTTGTATCAATCAGCTGTATTGTTTCTTTCAATAAATCAAGGTAAAATAAACTATGGCTCCTGTGCTGCGTGAGCCAGTGCCTGTGAGACCACAAGTCAACTGCAGGGATAATCAAGACTTCTAATGTTCATGAATTGAGGCTTTCCACCTACAGAGATGTTCACCTTACCTGGCACTTGGGGAAACAGGCTAAATAACACAAAATAAGCAGCCTTCTGCAACAGTCTTAATTGGCACAATTTATTCAGGTTAGCCTAGTGTGCATTTTTCTTAAGATACTGTTTTCAATTTTTATCCAAGCAGAACAAGCTTGGCTTTTTGAACAGTCTCTAGAGTAGAAAATTGATAAGGCTGTTCTTCAGAGTATCAGAGCTTAACTGACGTACTGGAGAAAACAGTGTGATCTTGGGACACTTTGTCTCTCCTGTACAAAGCTAAAGATGAACCCGAATATAAAGCTCCAGGACTGTAAAAATTCTATATGCATGCTAACTAAATAAGCTTGCTTTAGTGATCAGATTTATGCCTGGAGGCTCAGCAAAACCCTGTTTAGTCCATCTGGAATTTCTTCAGGTATGTAGCTGGTTTTGGTTTGCAATCAAACATCAGCCACTATCAGAAAGCAAATGATTTCCAAGGGACAGGTATTAAAAAGTCTCCTCTCAACTTGTTTGTCATTGCAGCGTCCTCGGTTACATCCATATCAGGCTTTACATTTTTGGCTACTCTTGAAGCTCCTGAAGAATTGTGGTGAGGAGGAGAAAGACTGATACAGAGCCAGATTTTTTTTTGGGGGGGGGCTCACTTGGACAAGCCCTAACACAGTGTTTCTCAACCGTGGCAACTTGAAGACGGGTGGACTTCAACTCTCAAAATTCCCCAACCAGCCATGCTGGCTGGGGAATTCTGGGAGTTGAAGCCCACCCGTCTTCAAGTTGCCAAGTTTGAGAAATACTGCCCTAACAGGTCTCTCCACCTATTCTCATGCTGCTGTACTCATTTCCTCATTGTACCTTTCCCTGCCAGAAGAGGGAGCTGAAGAGAGAAATCCATACCTTTCCTTTGATCAGCTTTTCTCAACCATGGCAACTTTAAGACGTGTGGACTTCACGTCTTCAAGTTGCCAAGACTGAAAAACATTGACCTAAATTTCACACCAGAAGCAAGAAGAGGACTTTGGAGATAAACTGAAGGTGCCAAAGGAGCAGATTCAAGGCCAGCTCCATACAAGGGTCAGCCCGTTCAGTAAACGAGGGGTCAGATTTACCCCCACCCTAATCTATTTCCCAGTCTGTTATTGACAGGGAGATCAATAATTCTCTTATACACTGGTCTTTTCTTTTTGATCCAACATCTTAGAGAACCAGCTACGTCCAACAGCTGTTTCCACACTCAGTACAACTATAGGGCCCTTCCCCCAGCACGAAGTCATCTTGGTTAGGCTTCTGGGGGCTAGACTCCAGGTGAAAACCTTTACCACAGTGGCCACAGATAAGAAGCCGGTCACCTTCTTCTTCATCAGAGCTGTTATTGCCATTGGTAACACTGGTATCAGCACACAAAGTATCACGACCAGTCATATGTGGAATCCCAATGCTTCCATCGTGGTGACCCTTGATGCTGGCTTTGTCAAAAGTTGTGTCAACCCCACAGAGGAGGTCATGGCCCATGCTGGGGCTGCGAGCATTGGTGTGAGTGCGACGGTGGCGAATTATGTGGGAGCTCAGCCGAAAGCTCTTCCCACACTCAGTACACACGTACGGTTTTTCCCCTGTGTGTACCCTCCAATGGTCCACCAGATTGGAGTGATGGGTGAACCTCTTGCCACACTCGACACAACCGTATGGTTTCTCACCCGTGTGGGTACGGCGGTGGTTAGCAAGAGTAGAACTCCCCGAAAAGCGCTTCCCACATTCCTGGCATTGGTACGGCTTCTCTCCAGTGTGGGTCCGTTGATGGCGTGTAAGGCATGAACTCCCAGTAAAACGCTTACCACACACACTGCACTGGTAAGGAGTAACACCTGTGTGGCCACGCCGGTGCAAGTTGTAGTTGGAGCTCTGAGAGAAGGCCTTGCCGCACAATTCACAACGATAGGGCCGTTCCCCGGTGTGGAAACGCCGATGCTGGAGGAGGTTGGAACTAGCCGTGAAGGCCTTCCCACAGTCCCCGCAGACATAGGGGCGCTCCCCAGTGTGCGTCCTCTGATGCTTGGTGAGTGCCGAGCTCTGGTTGAAGCTGCGGCCACAGTCATTGCAACGATACGGCTTTTCTCCCGTGTGGATGATCTGGTGCTTGGCCAGGTTCGAACGGCGGCTAAAACTCTTCCCACACACGCCACAAGTGTTTGGGTGCGAAGAGGAAGACTGCAGGAATGGAGAAGAAGGCGTGGCTGTGGGTTTTGAAAAAAGGGTACTCCTGCATTCGCCTCATTTACATATTTCTGTAATGGGTGCTCAGGAAAGCAAGCTCATTTGTGCCCTATCCCTTCAATGGTGGCATTTCTAATTTGTTGGAAGACGCTTAGTTAATTGAAATTCTACAAGCAGGGGCCTCTGCAGAAAGGGGTGAAAAAAGAATTAAGATGGTGGCCACAACAGCACAATCAAAGCCCCTTTTTACTTGCATTCCTGCAGCCACCATCTTGACTTTCAACACATACTTGGCAGATGGCCCAGTCTACAAGGGGGACACACAGTTCTTCTTTGCTCTGCACTGTACAATGGAGACTTCAAGTCTCTTTTTGGTGAACAGAGGATTCTGGGAAAGAAGGTCAGGGGCGCTACTCCAGAAAACTTCAAGTAGAGGAATATTTAAGGATACTAGGCTTGGAAGGCTGGTTTAAGGGAGCTTTTCCCAGTGGTGGAACCCTCTGAAATAAAACACAGCATCTGGCCAAATTCTGCTTCAATGAGCTGGGTGAAAGATGCTCTGTGGGACACTTATGTGAACTGTGATACTGCCAGGGCCTGGAAGGTCTGATACGTCAAGTGCTAATGCACAGTTGTGGAATTATTTCCTCAAATAACCAGGAAACCAGGCTGTTGCAAGATTGACCCCAAAAGTTATCTTCAGAACCCCATATTCCCAAGATGGCTGACACAACAGTTCAGGCCAAGTCCTGACTTCCTCAAGGTATCTTGAAGTTCCCACAGTTGCACTACTACTCACCGAACCCTCTATTGGGATGGTGATTTTCTGCACCTCAAATTCTTGTACCTTCTGCTCCTCAGTCTCCACCTTCATCTGTTCCTCAGTTGATGAACCACGTGAAGGTGCAGGATCAAGCTGGTTTAGCAGAGATAAAACAATCAAAATAATAACCCTTAGATAACTGCTTCTCTCCTTTCAAGCTGGTTCTTCCACTCATCCAGTTAAATCAGTGTTTCTCAATCTTGGCAACTTTAAGATGCATGGACTTCAACTCCCAGAATTCCCTAGCCAGCATGTTGGCTGGGGAATTCTGGGAGTTGAAATCCACGCATCTTAAAGTTGCCATGGTTGAGAAACAGAGTTAAATGTTCCTACCCTCCTTGTCTCCACTCACCAGTTTCCCATCTGCAGCAAGTTCCATCTCAAATTCCAGATCCTCTTCCTCCTTTTTTTCAGTCTTTACTCTAAGTAACAGCTCTTCTTCATTACCATCCACTACTGCTGACAATCTGTCCTGAAAGGATGAAGGATCCGGCTGGAAAACACCAAAGAAGCAGACCAAGAGATTCAGCATTTACATTGGGTTCAGTTTGTTCTCAGAAAAAGAGGTAGGCAGAACATCTTACAACCAATCTTAAAAGTTAATTTTGACAATATATTTCAGGTTGCTAGGTCCTAGGCAGCCATTCCTATGTAAAAATTCACTGTATATACATACATACATACATATATATATATATATGTG